TATTTGACCAAACACATATTGTCCATTACGATTCTTTTGTTGTTGTTGTTTGTATGCATGTATGTATGTTTGTTTAAAAATGTTGGTACTCATATATAGGTTTACATTGATTTCCATCAATTCCACCCTCAGGACTCACGAGAGCCCCTCCAAAAGGTGCAAGTATTTGGTACCACTGAATACCACCTCACTACTAGTAAGTACCACCATAAATTAGTCCTGATCCTTTAGTCACATGTCTTTGTAACTGGATGAGGCATAAAAGTATTTCATTATAAAAGAAATGACAGCAAGAGAGCAGATTCCTGTCAACGTTTGTGATCCTTCTATCTTGGAATCAGATTAAGGTTTTTGAAGGTACAAGGATTTCTGCCCACAGAAAGTGATTCTCTTGCCTCCCTCAGCAGGCTGAAGTGCCCCACAAAGTCTGTCCCTCGGGGAAAAGAGTTTCAGGGTATATAAAGATCGAGGGTTGGATCGAACTGGCTTTTCCAATGGTGAAAAATGAAGATTTGGAGGGTCTCCTTTGACCACCAAAAAGGTTGTTCTGCAGTTCATGGAGCATGACATAGACAAAAAGCGTACAGGAGGGTATTGTGAAAAGGAGTGGACCTGGTCAAGACTGAGCCAAAACAACAACAACAACACACACACACCCTTGACTGGTTCTAATCCACAAAAAAGCAGTTCATACTTTTGTTTTCCCTTCCTCTCCATTTAGGGTTGCCAAGTCCCTCAGCCAAGCAGGCAGGTGATGGTGGGTCCTCTAACCAGGAGGGAAGGAAGAAGAAGAAGCAGGAAATAAATGTGATGTGCCTACTTAACTTCTGGATGATGTAAGGCACATCATGGACATCAGGAGTGGCACTCTAGTTTGTGGGCAAAACACTATGGTAGAATTGGTTTAAAAACAAGAGTGCCCCCACCCCCGACGTCACCAACCAGCCTATGTCACTTCCATGTGATGCAGGCACATCACATTTACTTTTTGTTTCTTGCCTGTTGGGGTGTGTGTGTTTTCCTCCAGTTTCTGAAAGCCCTGAACTGGGGGGGGGAGACTCCAAACTGAGGAATCCCCCAACCCCAAACTGGAGCCTGGCAACCTTACCTCTATTCCTCCCCCAGCAGTTGTAGGGACTATAGTGTGAGGGGCTAAATTGGCTCCCAAACATGGGCTGATTTCGCACTAGAGCTGCCTCACGGTTGTGCTGCCGTTTGCCCCGACACTATTGGTCAATTTCACACCCAGAGCTGCGGGGCTGCCTTATGACTTGTGGCTTCGCCCAATTTCCCCCGCAGTTTCGTGATCCTGTTTTTTGAGGATCACGAAACTGCAGAGGAAATTGGGTGAGGCCGTGGGTCAAATGCAGCCCCGCAGCTTCGGGTGTGAAATTGACCAATAGTGTCAGGGCAAATGGTGGTGCAAACACGAGGCAGCTCTAGTGTGAAATCAGCCATGGTGTGGCAGCAGAAGGGGCTTTAGTGTTCCTTTCCTTCCCCCCTCCCTGTATACTTCCATACAGAAGAAAATGGCCCTGGAAGGTGGGCTGTTTGTCTCACTGCCAGTTCTTTGTGTCTCCTCAGGATACACATGGAACCAGCAGCAGGGCAAATAGCTCCCTTCCCATGGTAATGCTCTTCAAGTAAAAGCATATTGGGTAGGAAGCATTGTCAAAGCCCCTCTTGCCACTGCACTCAGGAGCCAGTCTGCTCCCTACACCCTAGTTTTAAGGAGGCTCCCAGGCCATATGCTAAACAGAAATGGGTATGGGGCTTACTCCAGCCCAAATGGCACTTAATAACTCATCTAATTGGACCCCAGCCCATGTTCACTTTACAACTGAAACCAGGAAGTAGTCCCTAGGATTTATATCACACATTCAGCTGTACTTGTAACATGAGACTTATTCAAAACATGTGGAAATAAAAATGGAAGTGTATGTGACTTGTGAACAGGGTCTATGAGCACCAAGAGTCTTTTCTTCCTTAAAGTTCTACAGAAACAGCTGATATAGGAACACACACCCCCACCCTTGTGGCAGAAGAGATCAAAACCCCATTCATCCATTAAACTAATATGGTCAGTTGTTTTCTCGTACCCTAACCTACCTCACAAAGCTGTTGTGAGATATAAAATGGAGGCAAGAAAAACTGTACACTGCTCTAAACTCCTGGAAGGAAGAGTAAGAAAAAAATGATAGAGGACAGCATATGTTCAACTGAAGAGCTTTCAATAAAGAAAAAAATGCATACAGATTACCACTTATGAATGCTGCCTATGAATGTTATTTTGTTCACTTTAAAATATATTTTCTACATTTTGTATACATATCATGTCTTACGCTTTATTTATGTGTTTAATAATCTTTCTTCTGCATTTATATTAAACACAGTTTGTGCTGCCAAGAAAATTTAACCAGTTAACTACTTTCTGGTTTCTATCACTGCTAATATTACTATAAATCAGCTTTGGGATCCCTGAATTAGCCTGCCCCTTCTGGTAAGTGCTTTGAGTGCCTCTTTAACCTCTTTGTTTCTCAAGGAATATATGATGGGGTTGACAACTGGGGTCACCACTGAATATAGGAGAGAAACTAGCTTGTCATTATCTATAGAGGAGACTGAACTAGGCCGGATATACGTGTAGATGACAGCAGAAAAGTAAAAACTGACAACCAAGAGGTGGGAAGAGCAGGTAGAGAAGGCTTTCTTCTTCCCTTCATTGGAGCGGATTTGGAAGATCGCTCTCAGGATAAAAAAATACGATGTTAGAGTTAACCCACAGCTACCCATCCCAAAGAAAACATCAGCCACGAAAATTAGAGCCTCGTTTCGGCTGGTGTCTGAACAGGAAAGCTTTAAAAGTGGGAGCAGGTCGCAGAAGAAATGATTGACGATGTTGGAACTGCAAAAGGAGAGCTGCAGCATAAATCCAGTATGAAGGGCTGAATAGACCATCCCGATGACCCTTCCTGCTGCCATCCCTATACACACTTCCTTCCTCATGATGCTTGCGTACTGCAAGGGGTGGCAGATAGCAGCGTAGCGGTCAAAAGCCATAATGGAGAGAAGCAGAAGTTCTGAGCCCAAAGCAAATATAAAGAAGTAGGCTTGTGCGACACAGCCATAAAAAGAGATGGTCTTTGTGTGGGTTGATAGAGTCTGGAGAAGTTTGGGAGTAGTCACAGAGATCGAGAACATATTCAGTAAGGACAAGTTGGTGAGCAGGAAATACATGGGTGTGTGGAGTTTCTTGCAACTGGCTATAGTTACTATAAGAAGGCAATTACCAGCCATGGCCACACTATAAATTAATGTGAATACCCAAAAAAGAAGGATCTGTTGTTCAAGGGAATCGGTTAGGCCAACTAGAATGAACTCTGTAATTGCAGACTGGTTCGTTCTTTCATTGAATCTGATGTCGATGACCTAGATAGATAAATTGCATCATTTCTGTTAATTATTGAGGTAGTTCATTTCTCTCCAACCATGCCCTCTCTCTTCTAAAGATAAGAATTTAGGCAATTCTTGACTTCACCAGTCATTGGGCTGGATTGATTTGCAAATTGGCTCATCAAGTTAAACTTTTTCAAACCTGCTTCTTAATTTCAGACCTCATAAGAACATAAGAACATAAGAGATGCCAATGTTGGATCAGGCCAAAGACCCATCCAGTCCAACACTCTGTATCACACAGTGGCCAGAAATACCAGTGCCATCAGGAGGTCCACCAGTGGGGCTAGGACATTAGAAGCCCTCCCACTGTTGTCCCCCCCCCCAAGCACCAAGAAGACAGAGCATCACTTGCCCCAGAACCCCTATCTATACCTTGTGGCTAATAGCCACTGATGAATCTCTGCTCCATATGCTTATCTAATTCCCTTTTGAAGACGTCCATACTCCCTTAACTGTCAGTATTTGCTAGTACAATCTGATTGGGGAGGGGGATTGGTGGTTAGAGTGCTTTTTCTGGAACCTGGTTTGTTACTAGTAAAAATGTTTTTAGATATAGTAATATAAATGTATAAAACATGCATGTTTTTCAAATGGGCTTTGAAGAGTCATCTCAAATCAGGAATTGAGATACTTTTAATGAGACTTAACCATATTCAATATAACTATCTGGTGCAATTTGACAACATATATAGGCCTGGATAGGGTGGTTTGCAACAAGTTGCAGCCCTTGGCTTCCTACCAACATGGTAGAATACTCATTGAGCCTATAGTAAGCATACAGTTTCTGGAGAGACTGAGTTTCTACATCAATACATTGCATGAAAAAGCTAAAACTTTTCCAGATTATGTGCTTGAAAATCTGGCCATGCCAAATACATCAATAGATCGGTTTATATAACAACAAAGAAAGCAGCTGCAAATTACAGTCACCCCTGGTTTGTAAACTGTGGCTTGCTTGGATTTTTTTTTTTTTGTAAGATTATGTACTATCTTTGGAAAAGAAAAGAAAGTGGCTTCCCATCTATTGAGTCTGCCTCTTTTACTCTATCTGATGGACATTTATCAAGTTACTCATGGTGGCTAAGTGACAGTACCACCAAAACATTAATGCACGCCTCCCTCATTCATTACAGAGGCAATTCTCAGTGAACAGACTTAGAGACAGAAGACTCAGAACCATGAGAAGAGGAATGTCTGCCCTTTTACTCTCAATGTATCTTTCAAGTAGACATACCCTTATAGCAAGGGTGACCAGTCTACAGACTGTGGGCTACAGCTGGTCCATTAAGGATTTTCATCTGGTACAGGAGAAGGAGAAGGTTAAAAAAAATGTGATTGCATCGGAGCTTCCATGAGCCGGTCATCCCTATGCCTCCAGTGGCATGCCTGGGCCATTCCTGAAGTGACACAGAACCAGTGCTAATCAAGCCCAAGCTGTTTTCATAGGTGTAAGGAGAAACAGAGTCCCGCTTTTATAGACAGAACATAATTTGGGCCCAGAAGCATTTTCAAGACCAACATTTTTTAGTATAAAAGCTCTCATGAATTATAGCTTACTTCATCATTGGCACCTGACAAAATGAGCTTTGACTCACAAAATGTTATACTCTGGAAATTTTTTGTCGGTCTTTAAGGTGCTACCGGACTTGAATTGTGCTCTTCTACTACAGACTAACACAGCTATTCACTTGAATAGGCTCAATTTCCAGGTCCTAAAGAGGCTGGGTAGATATTCCACAGAAAAGAGGATCACAAGAAGCCTCCATTGCCCTGGCCCAGCCCACCAAATGGTTTCTATATGTTAAGGTGGTCCTTAGACCACAGGTTTGGATACTTCACTTTATGTGTTTGTATATGGGGGCGATGGCAGTAAGGAGCAACATATTCCATTGAAGCTGAATAGAAACTGACCTCCCTCCCCCACCCAACCACACACCACACAAAGACGCTAACTGGTAGCCCATAATCAGATCCAGACTCCAAAGTAATTTTGTCAGTCTCTGCTCATCTCCCTGTAAGACTTACTTTTAACTCTTTATTAAAAGTTGTATCTTTACAGCTTTATATTTAGTTGTTCTGAAGATAGCAGTGCACCAGAACTTCATAAAACCCCATTTTGCTTTTTCTTCACCTTTCAATTGAAAATTCATTTTTGTATTCTGCTCTATAATGAATATCCAAGTGAACAACTGAACACCCATTTTTTATTATCTCAACAAGCATTTTTAAACTCTGTAGAAACCAATTAGCTATAGATATCAAAAGGAGGATAGCAGAGAGGTAGGGAGATGAAAGAAAATGCTTACCTGCATTCTGAGTTTTTGTTATTTCCTTCTTCTTATGGCATAGGATTTTGCCATCTGGAAAACACAGCCAAGTGCTTTCCATATATTTCCTGCCTGGTGGTAGCTAGTTCAGAGCCACTTGGGGAATGCTCACTTTTGGAACAAAGCAAATGTATAGCTGGGGTGTGTGTGACTTTTTAACAATGCAATGGTGCTACTGAGAGAAAGACCTTAGAGACGTCATTAGGAAGACAATGACGATTCAAAGTGTTCCTGAAACAAATTTTGCCCTAGATACAATCCTGTATTCTTTGAGAGTGAATTTACACTGTCATGATGTCCTAAAGTACTCTTTGAAAAGAGTAATGCAATACAGATAGTTATTTGATTTCCACAACCCATTTTATTATTTTGTAACAATTTTTTTATTTTTGAGAATTAAAAAAATGACTCTTACCCTTTTATGTTAAAGGTTGCAAACACAGATTGTCCTGGGAAGTTATGTGCTTTTTGTAATTGGGTAAGGAATGAAAACTGCTGAATTCCACATAAGGTATAGACATGCAAGCTTGAGAGCCAGTTTGGTGTAGTGGTTAAGAGCGCAAACTCTAATCTAGGAGAACTGGGTTTGATTCCCCACTTCTCCACATGCAGCTGCTGGTGTGACTTTGGGTCAGTAATAAATTCTTTCAGTGCTGTTCTCTCAAGGGCAGTTCTTGAGAGTGCTCTCTTAGCTCCACCTACCTCACAGGGTGTCTGTTGTGGGGAGGGGAGGAGAGGGGAAGGGAACGGGATTGTAAGCCACTCTGAGACTCCTTTGGGTAGTGAAGGGAGGGGTATAAATGCAGTCTCCTCCTCCTTCAAAGGAAGTATACATTTGCTGATGGGGAGGGGAGAGAATTACAGTATATTTATAACTTTTGGTGGTGGAAAATGATGTCAAGTCTCATCCAACATATGGTGACCCAGTAGAGTTTGCAAGGCAAGAGACATTCAGAGGTAGTTTGCCATTGCCTGCCTCTGCATAGCAACCCCGGAATTCCTTGGTGGCCTTCCATCCAAATACTAACCAGGGCCAACCCTGCTTAGCTTCTGAGATCTGATGAGGTCAGGCTAGTGTGGGTTATCCAATAATTTTTTTATGTTTCCTAAAATTCCCTTTTCAAGATATAAAATGTGTATCTCTACTATTTCCAGTTAAAGGGATCTCATAAACCAGATACTGGGAAGACCTTTGGGTTCGATCCACCCAGCTGTTTTGGTCAGTCTCACCCAATTATCCTTATCACTACAGCCTCCATTCCACATGGCTTTTATTCACATAGTCCCATTCTCACCAGCATAGTCTTTTTGGGTGCTCAAATGTAACCCTCTTCTCCCCTTTTCTGCATTTAAAAATCTGGTTGGATCTAACCCTTTCTCTGTTGGAGGCCCTGGATATTCATCTCCAGTTACAGTGGACAGGCCAGCTGGACCAATACTATAAGGGAGAATGAACCCATACAATTTTGTTTCTTTAAAAGGCTCCTCTATGTTCAACAATTTCAATAATTTTGTGTGGTATTTTGCCAGATTTAGATTAGCAGATTATGCTTTCCATATTCAGCATTTTTATCATCTCCACAGGATAAATGCAGTGTTTCTTGATGTGTTCTAGTGCTATGCTATAACAGTGAAGTGTTATATTGCCATCCTAAGAATAAACTACTCTGAGCAGACCTATTTAGGACTGCTCTAGAAATTGCATTAACTCCATCTGTTCCCAGTAGAGAGGGATTGTTTCCTTTAAGAAATATTACCCATTGAGGATAGATCAGCTGACATCACCTTCCCATTTTGAGTCTGGCAGGGAGGCCAACAAAACCCATCCAGGATTGCAGTGGGCAGGAAAGTTGATATAGTGAAGGGTAAGCCTCTCATGTATGTTGGGGTAGAGAAGCTACTGTTAATCCCAAAACTGTGAACCACAGCTATCAATATTGACACTTGGTTGAAGTTCACCTGTGAGTTGATCATGTTCATTGCTGCAATTACTGTTGTCCCCAACTGTTTAGTTTTAAAAGTCACAATCAAGGCTTGGGAGGAGGAAAAATAAAAGTCAGAGATAACTGAATTAGCATTTGTGTTATTTGGTGTTGGTTAGATCTGTATCTTGAATGTGTTTCAGTGCATACACCTGGTTTATATTAGACAATCAGTGCTTCTTCCCATAGCAGGCAAAATACACATGATATACTACACAAGCAAGGAATGAAGATATATGCCACTTAGATTGCTTATGGACAAATAGTCTGCTTCATATGACTGACAGAATACAGAGGAGAGCCAAATCATAATCATGGTGGCATAAATCGGTTGATAGACACAACCCAATAGAGGGTTTTTTAGTACTCATGAGAAATTTTAAGGCAGCCAGTTCACACTCCAGTATATAATCCAAGTAGACAGCCACTATTTTGCCATATGTTTACATCCAGAGTGGTAGAGATGCAGGGTTAACACTGCAACAAGAGGATTTATATACCACATTCTTATTTCATACATACATAAATTGTGTGTGTATTCGTAGGAATATTACATCTTAGTAGTGAAGTACTATGGTTCACTACAAAAAACTACAACAGAAAAAAGGTCGGGGAAACTACATATACAGGAGAAAGTAAAGAACCCACTACTGACTAAAAACCC